TCGCACTTTTAGAGTTATTATATGACTCAGCCACATTAGTTGTTACTTGGTAATATCAATTACCTCTGAACTGTGATGTGGCCCAACGATTTGGTGACGCTTCTATAAACCACTTGAAAGGATCCTCAGAAAGTGATCTAATTTCCACCATCTTATCAAAATACTCTTGCTGTGTATATGCTCTACATGCTTCGATATAGTTACATACAACTGCCTTCTTAACGTCATTAGGTATGTGTTTGCATTCCTTTTTGAAATTCGCCGCTAAATGATGCTCACAGAATGTATGATGAGCATTATAAAAAACTTGACAAACTGTATCAACTAATCCAGGGTGTTTATCTGACAAAAAAGTGATTTCACAGTCCGTCCCAATAGTAATTTTTAAAGATTCCATAAACCATAACTAGTTATCGGTACTTTCGACATCCACAATTGCGAATGCAAAGGGAAACATTTGACCATCCCCATCGAGTGAGTTTACAGCAAGTAGAGTCCCTAGGTATCGAGGCGTTGGTAATGTCCTATTGAGAAATAAAAGTAGACGACATCCATTTTTAAAGCCATGTATTGACCCATGAAAGCTTAGGAACAATCGCCGAAATCTACCTTCTGATCATACTTGTCTTGTCGCATAACTACCAGGATTCGTCTCCATCATGCGGTTTACTTATGCTAGTAATTGGTTCCTCTTGCGAACCATGTATGTCTTTGATGACTGTTTCTTTTCCTCGCCAGGCCTTCCAATAAGGTACTTCTAACCCATAATATCGAGATTAATCAATCATGATTTCTCTAGCCTTGTAATGTGCAGTATCACTTAATTTATCTTTGATTAAGAATACAACAAATTTTCGTGACGCTCTTCTCTGTACATCATTGCTTATCCCTAAATTGCATGAGTGGTCCTTTGTCCATGTTTTGATTTGAAAAACATTCGTCTTATCAAGCTTCGCACAATATATCTCCCATTTGCATCCATCACCCTTGCATTTTTCCCTTATGCGATACCCCTCATTTTTAACAATACGATATGTGAAATGATTTTTCATAGCAAACTTGCTAAGGGCTAAATCTTCTAAAGATTCGAACTGTTGTCCTACCCCAACAAGTGCATCCTCCCATGTGCTAAGAAACCTTGGTGCATTGTTTTGTTTAGAGCTAGATACTAAAACATTAGAGGGTTCTTGGGGTCTGACCTCTTCGATTGCCATAGTATTATTTGAAGTACTTCCATCCCTATGTTCACTCCTATGAAATACATACACGAGCACTTGATTCTCGCCTTCATGGGCGTTCAACATCCTAACAATATCATCATCTATAAATAGGTTTACCATAAATTTTCTATTTCCTGAGACAAAATACCTTAGTGATAGCAAGTGCATGTCAAGTGAGAAACGCTCTGCTACGTATTTTCGCATTTCATCTAACTTAGTTCTACAATGAGTGAAAAAGGTAAATGCATCACCATCGATATAATCTAAAGTCTCATCGCCACTTGTTCGGAGTTCTCCATAAAAAATGCAATAAATTAATCTGTTATCACCCATTTTCTTTTGTCTTGCACAATATTTGTAGTAACTTCACCACCAATATACTAGCCTTGAACTTGCCCTATGCTTATTCATAAAGCTTTTTGTAACAAGAATTGGTACTAAATTTTAACAAAGAAAAGATGATGAGTCATCATTTACAAGTTCAACAAAATGCAGTGAAAATAACCTAAAAATTATTACTATCAATGACATCCATACATTAAAAATAGCTCGACAAATTTTAAGAAAGCTTTTTGTAACAAGAATTTTGTACTAAATTTTAACAAAATAAAGATGATGGATGATCATATATAAATTCAACAAAATACAGTAAAAATAAGGAAAACATTATTACCATCAATCACATCCATACGTTAAAATGACAAATACAGACACAACGACAAATCCATAATAAATTAAGAACAAAACTCTATACATCTTAAGCCATTATCAATCCATTCCTTCAATTCTTATTGACAAATTAAATTGTAACAAGAGCTACGCAAATAAAAGATTATTGTAAACAAGAATTGCTACTATATTTCAACAAAAGAAATAATATGCATCAACATCTATAAGATCGACAAAATACAGTAAAAAAAAAACCCCAAAAATGAGTACCACCAATAACAGCCATACCTTAAAATGACAATAAAGACACACTGACAATATCCATAACAATTTTTAAAAAAATCAATACACCTTAAGAATTACCTATCAATTCCTTCAATTATATAACAAATCAAATACAGACAATGTGGATATCTTTAACCCTAAACTTGAAGTTACAACATTAATATTAGGTAAAAAATATTTCTAAATATTTAATTGAAATATTTTTTCATACCTGGGCCTCAAAAATCAAGCTCGACCTGTGATGGGGCTTGTTTCGAGATAGATGTGCTCTGTGGGACTTTTGTAGATACTTGTGGGCCTTCGATTGTAGAGAGAGAGGGACATAAAAAATTCATATAGGCAGTGACGCCTTTGATTGTAGAGAGAGATTGGATTGTAGAGAAAGAGAGAGATAAAAAATGGGTTCTTTGCGGGAGAGAGTGAGTGAGTGGGCCTTCGTAGAGTGAGTGATTGAGAAAAAAATAGGTAAAAAGTGGTAAGTGGGACCTTGGTAGGTCATGAGAGAGATTGAGTGGGCCTCGAGGAGTGGGGACTCTTTCACCATGATAGAGGAGATAATGCATGCAGGGGATTTTTTCACCGTGATGAAGGATATACTGCAGGTAGGAGAAGGACGTGAGGAGAGATAGATGAGAGAAAATGGGAAATCACCATGAGAGAGGGAAAGGGGAGATCACCGCAGGTGCTGTTGAGAGAGAGGAAGCCGCAGGGTAAAAACGCGTGAGATGTGAAAAAAGGTAAAATAGGAGGTTAAAAAGGAGGGAGGGTAAACTTTGTTTTTTTTTTTTTTTTTTTTTTTTTTTGAGGTTGGGTGGTATTAGTCATAAAAGTCAATTTTATAAAATTTTAGTGAGAAAAAATTAAGGTGGGGTAGAGTGTTTAGAAAGTACCAATTGGGGGGTATTAATAATTTTCCCAAAATTTAATAAAAATATCAAAAAAAAGTATTTTGTAATAAATAAATTGATCAAAATACCCATAAAATTTGCAAAGGTATTTTGATCAATTTATATATTGCGGATTATTTTTTAATATTTTTATTAGGTGCGCTTTAATGAGAAAAATAAACATCTAAAATTTCATGTGATTTGGATTTATATAAAAAAATTTAAATTAAAATACGAAATAAAGTTTTGACCATCAGTTCGGCCCAAATTTGTGCTCATGTAACTGTGCACTAGTGGGCCTATGCCAGTTTTTCCCTTACTTAAATAAAACATTCTACACGTTTGTAAAGTCATTGTTTCTTTGCTAATGTGAAAAGAGATCTACTTATCAAGCAGGTAAGAGGAAATCTATATACAAGGTTCAATACAATGAGAAAGAATAAAACAGCTATACACAAGGTTCTATACAATGAGAAAAAACAAAAAGATTATATAAGAAAATTAATATGTTGCTATTAAAGATAAGAGTAATGATCGTATGAGACCCTTTCACACCTATGTATGTAGGATTTCAAAGGATTATTATTAAATTTGGTACAAGTCTCTAGAAAAGTTATCTGATCCTTTGAGGTCCTATACACATGGGTATGGGTTCATTACTGTAAAGATAAATATGGACTTGTAAAATTTCAATTTATATTTTCCCAACTATAAACAGCCTTAGAATTAAAAGAGAAAATTTCAACTTTTCTAATAAATGTATGTACTTTTTCGAAGGGTGTGGTTTGGGTAAGGCTGAGGCGCTAAACAATATAAGGCTGAGGCCCTATACAATCAAAGTAAGATGTATGGTCAAATATTGTTGAAAGGTATTCTTTTTGGTACTAGAAATCTTTGTGATGGCTTAAAAAATTGTTTTTATCTCTAATTATAAAATTTAATACTTCAAAAATCATATAGATAAAGCATACCTATGAACACTTGAAAATCTTGGAAAATGGTACAGAAAATACATTACAAAATGTACTATTTTTAATACTTGAAATCGATCAATTTTCATATCCGTATATCTTAAGTCGAGATGAGAAATTTGAAGATTTTTTAGCTTCGAAATAACGTCTTCCAGTGAAGTTTGAGGTGCGGCTTAATATAAACTCCTTCTTGAGCCTAACATAAGGCAAACTACTGTGTCTTCTCTTCGCGAGGGTTCGATGAAACACAAAACGACTACACGTCCAATTTACACCAAAATGACCACATCATCCAAATAAATGCCATTAGCCCGCATTCAGTAGAGGAAAAATCAGGCGGTTTACAATCTAACTGTCCCATTAGATCGGAATCGATCACTAACCAATTCTGATTTCGGGTAGTTTTGGTGAACCGGCCCGATATTTTAAAAAGAAATTTGAAAAATAATATAAAATCCTAAAAAGTAAGGGATTTTGTTTGTAATACATTTTTTTTATGTTTTTCATATTTTGGCAAATATTGGAAATTGTTTTGGCTATTAATATTCATTTTTATATTTTTTCATCTTTTTAAAGAATTAAAAAATACCTCCATGTATAAATTGATTCTTTAAAATCCATTTTTTCCTTAATTTTCAACTGCATTTGGATGTGCTATGTTTAATCATGCTTTAAATATACTTTTCAGATTACACTAATTTTATTTTTTATTTGTTTATTTTTTAATATCATTTTTACCAGTCGAGACTTGCGCCAATTGCACTTGCCGGTTTACTGATTTGGTCAGTTGAACTGCTATCGACCCATGTCTAGTTAACCGTTTAGATTCGATTTTTCCTGAATTGCCAATATCTATATCTATTATATCTCTATATAGAAAACGTTATGCAAACCATCGCTCTTTCTTTTTATATATATATATATATATATATGGAAAATACTTGTTTACGCCTCGCGTATAAGAAATTGAAACGGCAAGTGGTTGTGATCCGTTCAACGAATGAGAACGGTGATACCTCTTTTTTTCAATCATCTCAATCGATAGAGAACCTGACATTTGCAGGCCTCTCTCGCAGGCTACCTCCCATCTTACCCTATCTCTCTCAGCTCCCTCCTCGCAGCAGACTCACGGGCCTCTCTCTCTACCAAACGCAAGCCCCTCACTCTCTCTCAGTTCTCTCCTCGTAGCAGAGTCGCAGGCGCCTCTCTCTCTACCAAACGCAAGCCCCTCTCTCTCTCTCAGCTCCCTCCTCGCAGCAGATCTACTCTCTCTCTACGCAAAGGGCTTTCTCTCTGAGAAATCTCTCTCTCTCTCTAAAATCTGAGATAAAAAGAAAAATGGGCTTTCTCTCCTTGGATGGGTTTCACCTAGATTGGAAAAACTGAGAAATCTGAAAAATCCCTGATAAAAGGAAAAAGGGAAAACTCCGTTATCACAGGCTACCATTAAGAGAAGAGTCTCTCTCTACACGAAGGGCTTTATAACAGGTTTGCTGAGTTCTGTGAAATGTTCAATAGTTTTTATGATTTTGTGATATGTGATATGGTTCTTCAATCAATAGGTTTTATGATTTCTATGATACGTGATATGGTTCCTCAAGTAGTGTGATTTATTATTGTTATTAGTGTTTTTGAGAGGAAAAGTGATTCCTATGTTCTATTAATTAGTCGGTGCTGGATAAATTTGAGTTGCTATCAACTAATAGCTTGGCTTATGATGACTTCTATTGAGTAAGATATTTTGTTCGGTTGTATTATTGTAGAGAACAGAATTCAAAAATTTGCCCCCCGGGCATGTACACATACACTATATCCCTTCCAGGCACCTACGACTGGCTGTCTCTGCATTTTTTAAGCATTGGGAAGTATGAATTTATACTTTCCCCAAAAATAAAACCTTAAATAAGTCATATATGTTGCCCAACTATTTCCCAAGTATGACCACATGCAAGGAAGGAAATGAACTGGATATTTGGCCTAGTCTTATCTTTTTTTGATATCTGGTGTATCCTTTTTTTTATATATATATAGTTAACTATGTTACCTTGTGTATCATATTTTTGTTAGATAAATGCACCATTTTTATTTTTCTTGAGTCAATAAAGATGACTTTATCAGAATGAATATTTACCTTAGGATTGATGAAAACGGGCCCACTACTAATCCTTCCTTGCAATTAGGTTGTCTACATCCTCCCTAAACCAGATTCCTTGTCTTGACGTAGTTTGAGAAAATTTTGAACATTTCACAAATTTGACGTAATTCCATTGTAAGTTGCAATTAATTTTGGGTTCAATTGCCTATGCACAGAGCCATTATAGCCATTGTAATCAATGTAGCTTTGTGAGAGGTTTTCCTTTTTCTTTTTATCTCAGATTGCTGAAATTCTTGCTCTTCACCGTGATGAATATTTTGGCATGATAGTTTAAAGTTTGGATGAATTTTTTTATGTCAGCAATTGAATCACTTGTGTTGCTTTCTCAATGATGAAAATTTTTTTATGATCGGTTGGCATGATAGTTTGAAGTTTGTATGAATTTTTTATGTCACGATTTGCATGATTTGTATAGTAGAAGCATACCATTTATTCTCATTTGATTGTTGATAAATTTGGTGCATGAAAAGTGTGATACTCTGCTCATAATCATGTCTCCTAATGTATTATTAGCTATGTTGAAACACATAGAGAAGTATGTAATAAGCCTTGATAACCAACTAAACCTAACGAACAAAAAAAAAGATACATAAATTGTCAAGTCAATTATTAAAAAATATATGAAGTGTTGAAGTCATTAATTGATAAATAAAATGTTTTTTGTGTAGGGTAATGTTAGTACCTGAGATGGACCTCACCATTTCAAAAAGTGTGGCATCCCCCACATGGCCAGAGGATGACAACATGGGGGATACTGTAGAGCCCATGGAGCAAGTTCCGTTGGTTGCAACTCCGCCCCACAATAAGTTCACAAATCCCAAAAACAGGGAACATGCGTTGTCGTCCAAGGGGTCAGAAATAGAGAAACCTCACATAGGAATAAAATTCGGTACTGAAAATGATGTATTTGAGTTTTACAAGGCTTTTGCATTGGTGCATGGGTTTGGTGTCAGAAAGGGAACTACTCATAACAATAAGGATGGAAAGAGAACTGTTAGGGATTTTATATGTTCCAAGGAAGGTTTCTGTATGGCGAAAGAAGTGTTACCTACAAAAAAATTCCCTTAGTCAAGGTGTGGATGTGTAGCAAAGATGTGCGTAAGCATAAATGCCAATAATGAGTGGGTTGTCACAATGTTTGTTAAGGATCACAATCACGACTTTATATCTCCAAGAAAAGCCCGACTCATTTGATCGCACCGAACAATATCGGATGCGACAAAGACAATGATAAACTCAATGAGCTCCGCTGTAGTAAAGTCTCGGAATATCTATGATATATTTTTAGAGCAGTCTGGAGGGGTTGATAATATCCCTTGCTTACAAAAAGACATTGAAAACCAATTATCATTGAAGAGAAGAAAATTCAGAGGAGAAGATGGGAACCGTACGATGGAATGGTTAATCGATATAAAAAGATCGAATCCATCTTTTTTCTATAAGGTAAAATTAGATGAAGAAAATCATATTGTCAGCCTATTATGGGTAGATGCCATGTCAAGGGTGTTCTGCAACTACTTCTCAGATGTGTTCACTTTTGATATCACATATAAGAGAAACTCTTTTGGCATGCCCTTTGCTCCCATACTTGGAGTGAATCACCACCTTAGCACAACATTTTTTGGGTTTGCACTTATATTTGATGAGAATGTGGAGTCATTTGTATGGGTATTTGAAAATTGGCTAGAGGCAATGGGTGGACGTCAATCGGGAGTAATTATCACCAATCAGGATCCTGCAATAACCACTACAATGAGACAAGTTATGAATAAAAGCAGACATCATTATTGTAAGTAGCACATACTTTCAAATGTCAAAGAAAATTTGTGTCATGTCTTGCGAAAGAGTCCATCTTTTCTAGACCACTTCAGGAATTGTATAATGAGTGAAACCAATGAAGAATTTGAGTCAGAACAAAAATCTCTAATTGAGAAATATAATCTTCAAGAGAATGAATGGCTCAATAGATTGTACAGATGTCAAAAGCAATGGATTGATGCATACGTGGCAGATGCATTCACAGCCGGTATATCATCGACTCAAAGAAGCGAAGAAATGAATAAGCACTTCAAAAATTACATGAATTCCAATACAAGCTTGCGCACATCGTTGGAAAACTACTCTAAAAGTGCATGATAAAAAACTTCTTAAGATGAGAGAAAATTACTTAAAGAACATCACATCTATGCCTTTTTTTAGGACTACGTGTGACATCGAGGCTCACACTTTGAAGTTATATACATACAAAGTTATGAAGTTGTTTGGGGAAGAAGTTACAGAAGGCATCAATTACATGAGTAAAATTATTGAAGAGAATGACACAGTTGCAATCTTCAAGGTATTAAAACGGGAAACTGGAACAAGGACCAACACTGTAGAGTTCAATAGTCACGACCAAAATTTTTATTGTACTTGCCACATGTATGAGAGGCTAAGCATTATTTGTAGGCATGGGATTAGGTTGTTGATGGTGAGAAATAATTTTGAAATCCCTTCGCATTACATAATGAAGAGGTGGACGAAAAATGTGATGCAAGGTGTTGTAGTTGATGCCAACAGGAAACAAATTGAAGGTACTTCTGATCTACCCGGTTCCATTCGTTTTAATGAGGTTTGTCAAGCCACTAGAGTACTAGCAGAGTATGCTTCATAAAAGGTAAAACTTCATGCATTTATAATGTTAGAAATAACAAGTACACTTGCAAAGGTTGAGGCCAAGAGTGGGGGTGTGGTATTACCACCTGGTGCTATTAAAACCCCTTGCAACACTCGTACTAAGAATATGAATGCCAGCAATAGCAACCGTGCTGAGGTTGAGGGACATGCACATCGTAACATCCTTGAGTCCCCCCCCCGGACACGAACAACGGGGAGACCTACCAATGATAGATATGTAACTCGGGCTGAGATAGAGGTAGACAAAGTGAAAGAGAAGGAAGTTACTCGAAAGTGCGCAAAGGGTGTGGACATGACAGAAAGCATTGTCTAGCTGTCACACACTTAAAGTATGAATGGACTATTACTCCTTCTTTCGTACTTTTTGTGATGGTAATATGAATTCCTTAGTTATAAATATTTGAAATGGGTTTTATTCATTTAGGTTAAATATCAATATAAGATGCACAGATGGGTCAAGTGAGAATGTGGAACACGATGAGTAATGGTATGAAATTTTAGTTTTGCATTGTAATCAGTAAACAAGTATTTGTTGCATTGAATTTGCATTGTAAGAAATTTTATTGCATTCAAATTTTCATGCTTATGTGTTTGAGATATACTTTAGCAGGCGCAATTATGCTATTCTTTGATGAATTGATGTTACTTTAATAATTTGTTCTTTCTTTTGATTGGTGAATGAGGTATGCAAATTTGTAACTTATGGTGTAGAACTCAACACCCTAAACAATGGGTTTCTGGAAAAAAGTTTGTCATTTATTATCTTCTTGTATGGTTTTTGGATTGATACATATGGTAGGATCTTTTGTAGAATGCAATCAAGATTTTAAATGGACCTTTTGTAATTTTGCCTTGAAATGGTTCGGTTTGTTTTGGGAGGCTTGCTTTTATGAGTATTTTAAATTTTGTTGAACCAGACATTGTAATTGATCATTAGAATAAAATCCTTATATAGTATTGATCAATGGTACAAAATTTTTAATGCAAAGCCAATTTGGGCACTTGACAAAAGTGAATGGACTACTAACAATCACTTGGAATTTGTTTTCCTTAGGATCTTTGTATTATTGAGCCATCGCCGCCAAAGAAGTATATGCTTGCTTCACTTGGGTGGTGAGTATCTCCTAAATTTTATATTAGGTTATATTAGTCCTAGAGTCATTCTAGATCTAACGAACAATAGCATGGCCTCATTCATTTATCCATGTTAATATATAAATTTTTTTACACTTTGTTCTTTTCCTATTCACAATTGATTTCATTGTTTTTCTTCTTTCAATATTAACTGTACATTTGTTCTATTTTTTAGTATTGGATTTGAAATTTGTGTGATTAGTTTCTTGAAAAAATTGAGAATTAATTCGAAATGTGTGATTCTTCTAGCTGGAATTCTGTTAGGAGCTAATTGGAAAATATGGATCGTATTTTCACTTTTCTTGTATTTGCATGTTCTGATAGAAAACTGAGGTGCATCGATCGCTGGTTGAAATCTATTTTGAAAACCATTGCTTAGATTATTTGGTTTACTCTTTGGCATGGTGAGTTTGTGCTTACATCAGTTGAGACTTCGACTCAATTTTGGTGGAAAAAAATGATGTGTCTTGGCGTAAAATGGGATTTGTTTTTGCCTTTTCAGTTCATGTGGGGAACATGTTTAATCTGTTAATTTAGGAATCTTAGAGTCGACATAGAAATGAGATGATGGCAGTGTTTCAATGAATAATTCACCCCACCGCCCTCCTCTCTCTCTCTC